TTGGTCGTGGCCCCTCTCTCTGCCACCTGCCTGCTGTGGCTCCACTGGACCCGCCACACAGCCACAGCCTTGCCTCCATGCTGCTTCCCAAGCCCCTCCCAGTTCCCACAGCCCAACCAGTCCTCTCCCTGAGCTGGGCCTCCCCGTCACCCCCCCGGCTCTCTGAGGGGAGAGGTATTTTGTCCAACTGGGGAGTGGTCCCGAAGAGACCCTCCCAGCTCTTCTCGCCAGAACAAACTTGAGCCAGGCCTCAGGCGGCAGGCCCCACGCAGGAGCCTCGCCTCTGCTCCCGGCGCCCACTCTCCCCGCCAACCCAAAAGTGTGGCGTGACCCTCAAAACAGCTGTGTGCTGGGTCAGGACGCCTAGAGCGGGAAGCAGACCTCGGAATGGGAGCACTTGGCCCTGGGGCATTGGAAGGTTCGGACAGCGCAGGCAAAGCACTGCTGACCGTGGGCTGGTCTCAGCTGGCCGGCCCCATCCCTGGAGGAGACAGGAAGCAGGGCGGGTGCGTGCTCCAGGCCGGGCCCCAGGGTGCACAGCTTAAGGGGGCACCCACTCAGTTTGTGCAGACACCCACCTTGCACTTGCTGAGTGAGCCCCTAGTGTCCGCCCTCGACCCCAGGCTCGTCTCACCCCTCCCTGCCCTGCTTCCTGCCAACTTCTACCCCCTGTTTTCTTCTCAAGGAGAATGGATGAGATCCCTCCACATCCCATCCTCTCAAACAGTGTTTACACAGTGTCTGCCATGCATCAGGCTAGGCAGAGTCCCTGCCCGCAGGCCACGATGCCCACAGGCCACGATGCTCACAGGCCATGATGCCCGCAGGCCCCGATGCCCGCAGGCCCCGATGCCCACAGGCCACAATGCCCGCAGGCCACGATGCCCGCAGGCCACGATGCTCACAGGCCACGATGTTCACAGGCCACGATGCCCACAGGCCACGATGCCCACAGGCCACGATGCCCGCAGGCCACGATGCCCACAGGCCACGATGTTCACAGGCCACAATGCTCACAGGCCACGATGCTCACAGGCCACGATGCCCACAGGAAGCTTTGCAAGCGCACAGCACAGGAACCTGCCCCCAGGCACATGCTCCCCGAGCCCTCTCTGTCCAGAGTATCAGCATCTGCCAGTGAGGAGACTCAGGGAGGGAGGGGGCGGTGAGCTCCTCCGAGGAAAGGCACCGGGAAAACCTGTAGCCACACCCACACACAGGCACTGGGGTCACCTCCCATCGGCTCTCGTCCCATCACCCCAGCCTCCAATCCAGTTAGAGTCCCACACAGACGCTCCCTGGAAAAACAACAGGAAAGGTGACCATGCACCTCCCGTTGAGAACTGTCCCATCGAACGGGGCTTTGAAAGCAAGAGGCCAATTAGTTCCCAGCCCACTCCCTCCCGTGCCAGCAATGAGGAAGCCATTACTTCTAATTAATTAGGGCGGAAAGAAGGGCCTGCATATGCATTTATAATGAGGGGCTGAGGCTCTACCCCACCCCTAGTGCACAGTGTACATGCTCACACTCACACACACACACACACACACACATATGCTCACATGCACACACATGAACGTTCACACACAATGCACACCTGCACATACGCACATGAACACACGCGCACTGTGCACACACACACACACAGGTGCATGCACCAGGGAGTAAAGACCCCGGCAACTGAATGACCTGAAGCATTTCTTCCGGCCCTGCCATCAAACACCTGCTCCTGGAAACCACTCACGAAATCAAAGACAAAGGCCTTCGCTGGCACCTTCCTCAGAAACGAAAGCAGCCTTTGTTGTGAGAGAACAAGCAGCTGTAAACTCCTCTGATTCGAAAACATCTGCAGCCAAACACAACCTGTTCACGCAGGTGCCCTCCCCGCTCCCACCTGTCGGGTGGGAAGGAGGCCCGTTCTCGGTGCCGTCACCACCCCTTCAAGGTTACGGCTTTGCCTCGCCTTGGGGGAGACTGCAACTAAAGGAGTTTCTGTGCAAAGATTAGGCTAAGCCAAGGCACCCTACTGAGTCGTAAATCTATTACATAATAAAACAGGGATGACATGGCACGGAGGTAACGGTCAGGCGAACCCTCGTTATGAGGCTGCAATTCTGCACACGGGCATCTCTCCCGGTCCATGAGCAGCAGGCAGACTCTGAGGTCGTCGCAGGCCTCGGCACACCTGTGCCACATGGCACCTGTCACCCAGCATTCTGCCATTCTGGGCCAGGCAAGATCCCACTGGCTGGCAGACCAGTCGCTGAGGGAGGAGGGGGAACTGGCATCGCCGACACGGAGCGTGGCAGCCATTCCTCTGCAGTTTCCAGATCGGCTTCTAGGCTCCTAAGTCCCTATTGGCATGGTAATGGGTGGTCTGCAAACTGCCAACAATTGCAACAAGTTTGGCGGCCACCTACCTAAGAACCCGGGCATGTTCTGCCTAGAGCTGAAACCATCATGAAATCTGAAAGCGCAACAGTGTTCACTTGTAATCCTAGGCCCCGTTGTGCCGGCAGCACCCCTGTAAGCAGCCCCAGGTATCAGAAGCCCAAAGATACAAACACAAAAACTGATCAGGGAGACAGCGGAGGAGCCCGATGGCCGACTGATCTTGGAGCAGCTCCCATAAGGCCCTCAAAGCTACTGCTTGTGTTTTTAAACTTCAGTTCACCCACTGCTTCAGGACCACAGCTGTTACACAAAGCGATGCGGACAAGTGCCCACAAAAAAAGACAGTGGAAACAAGTTTTCTTTTTAAAGACAACCTGATTGACAACTTCAGGCTGAATAGTGCAGACTCGCGTCAAGCAGCCAGCCTGTGGCACGTGCAGAAATCCCCACTGAGCCCTGGTCCTCCGAATCCAGCGATTCCTGCAAATCTCGACACTGAGAACGGGCCATGGGTCTGAAATGCCCACCATTTCTGTCGATCCTTTGCGCCTGGCCGCTGGGTTGTACCTACAGACAACCTGCAATCCCTTAATACCACTTTAGTGTTTCATCATTTTTTAAAGAACCACGTAAATGCTACAGACCATCTTTCCTAATGGGTGCGTAAATAATTACCCATAATTTTGCATAAAATGTCAGGGTCATTGTCCCCTTGAAATCTATTCACGGTGCTCAGATCTGCTTTTAAGGAATGATGTTCTTTAGTCGCTGTCTTAACGCCCGTTCTGTTCACATGTTTCCATGTCCACGGACGCTCTATCCGCTGAGCCAAACCGGTTAGGGCGGAATGACGTTCTTTAGTTGCTGTCTTAACTCCTGTTCTGTTCACATGTTTCCATGTCCACCTGCAGGTCACCTCGGAGGACAAGGCACACCCAGCCAGCAGAACCGCGTGGCAGACTGAGGAGGGAATGAGCGTGGCTGGTGGCTCCCAACCTGAGGCTCTGGACAGCTGGTTTCCCATAAACCACGGGCCATCCTGCTTGTCTCCGCGCCACCCGCCCATCCAGTGACCTGTCCCCTCCCACCCACCACGTGCCGGGCACTCCCCACCGGCAGGGCTGCGGGTTGGCTCCTGGGGAGGTGTGTTGAGGGGGTTGTGCCTGCTGTATGTTTCTGTGTGTAAAGGTTGGGTCCATCCAGGTCTCCAGTCCATGCCCAACCCTCTCGTGAAGCTGCCCAGGGTGAGGGCTGCTCAGCCGGCCTTCAGTTACCTGAGGTGGCCCAGCCCCCTGCCTTCCCTCCTACCCTCCTGGGTGGGAAACAGGGAAGGTGCGTCTCCCCTCTTTCTCCCTCTCTGTGTGGGTGGCCAATGTCAATACTCTGGAGATGTCTCTGACCTTGGAGAGCCGGGGTCAAAGCGTCCTGCTTCCCCGTGCTGCCAGGCTGGATGCCTGCAGTAGCCAAGGGCACGGTGTTTGCTGCCAGGGGCAAGGGCAGGGGAGGACCACCCTAAGAGGGCACAGGAGGTGTGCATTGTCCTGCTCACGGGTGTCTTCACTGGCTTGCCCTCTGCTTTATTTATGGAATATGTATTCATTACACAGAGGAAAACCCAGTCCCGTCTCTGACGTATCCAGCCCAGCACTTGTCTTCTTGGCCCCATAGAGCACAGTGAGTTATTCCACTTTGAAGCCACAGACATGGGGAGAAACTCTCTCCGAGTCCAAACACCCACCCCCAACCAGACTGTCAACCGGAAGTGGGTTAGAAACCACCAGCTGGAGAGGCTGTGAAGCCACGCCCATCAGCGGAGCCTGACTGTCTAAACAGCAGCCCCAGGACTGCCCCCCACCCGGCACCAGGCCTCCCCTCTCCTCCCCACGTGCCTGGGGGCTGGCACTCAGCTGCCCTCTGCCCAACTCAGAACTGAGCTGCTCCTGCTCTGGTGCCGCCCTCTAACGCCACCTGAACATCAGAGACCCGCGAGCTCGGTCCCCTCCGGCACCGTGGTCTCGGCGTGGAGCCCGGCACCCGTGTTTTAAGGAGACCCTGATGGTTCTGCAGGGGGCTGGGCTGAGAGGCCTCCGGCGTCTGCTCTCCCCCCTCGCTTCCCACATCTTTCATTCCCCAGCTTTCTTGGCTCCAAGAGTGGGAGAGGCCACTGAGAAATGGCAGCGGTCTCCTCCTGTTCCTCAACCACCCCCCCCACCCGCCTACCCCCACAGGTCAGCCACCCTGAGCGGGTCCCTGAGGAGTGGCAGGTCCCACCACTGTCCCCTGAGCCTGGTGCCTGTGCCTGTGCCCAGCCTGGGACGGCTCTCGGACAAAGGCCACCAGCCTTGCTGGGAGCAGAGGCTTGCCCTTTGGCCAAGTCCTCTCTCCACTCACACCTCCCTAGACTCCCAAAGGCCAAGGGTTCAAGGTCACTTTGGTGACATTCATGTCGCCAAATCCTAATCCTGGTAAGAAGGCCCCACCAGTGTTTTATTTATTTATTCATTCATTCATTCATTCATTCATTCATTTATTATTGATTTCAGAGAGGAAGGGAGAGGGAGAGAGAAATAGAAACATTAATGATGAGAGAGAATCATTGATCGGACCTTCTGCACACCCCCCTCTGGAGACTGAGCCCACAACCCAGGCTTGTGCCCTGACCGGGAATGGAACCGTGACTGCCTAGTTCATAGGGTGATGCTCAACCACTGAGCAACGTTGGCCGGGCCCCGTCCAGCCTGTACAACCCAAGCCTTGCCCACTTCTGCAGAGCCACCTGAACTGAAGGAGGGTCTCCCGGTGACAGAGGAAGGAGTCACACTGCCCCAAGCCAGTCCTTCCCAACAATTGGGCAGCATCCAAACCCCAGATGGCCGAGAAGAGATCTCCCACTTCACACAAGATCTCCCTGCTGAGTGTGAGTAAGTGTGTGTGTGAGATGTGTGTGAACGTGTGTGTGCACGTGCAGATGCCATGTTCAAACCATCACCATCACAGAGGTGTGCAAGCGGATTCTGTGTTAGATGTATACACAGAACATTGTGATCTATTCACACTGACACACACATACACACACACACACACACCCTAGGCAACTGTGATGTGGGACAAGTTGTTCTGCTACCTGACCTCCCCATCTGATAACTCCAGGCCAGTAAGTACTATTTCCCACCCACGGCCAGCCGTCCCGCCCGCCCGTGGTCCATACTCCAAGCCTCCTTCCCCAGGGAGGGAATGTTCTGCCCTGTGTCCATCGCTCAGGGTCCTACCCTGACGGGTGACGGACAGTTCAGTCCACATGTGGGAAGAGTTGAGTGTCCCCCCGCAGGTGACATTTATGTTTTAATAGTGACCACAGACAATGCCTTCCCCAGAGGAGTGGCTCTAAGGGTGGGGTTTCGGGCACTGTCGTGGGCCGAGAAGGGGACCCTTTTTTATCAGGGGACTTTGAGAGCTCCCAAGGCATGCCTGTCTCTGCGACCAGCCGGTGCATGAGCCACCTGCCCACACACTTCCCCTCGGGGCGAGACACCGCCTGATATAGGCCCTATCTTTCAAAATGAAGAAAAAGCAAAGGAACCAGCTGATATGGAAACCTCACCGCCGGCCAGTGGGTCCACACCCTTTCCGTCCCTCCTGCTCCTTCTCTCGGCTGCCACGGCGTGTGAATTTACTCCTGTGCCCCCTCTGTGGTCTCCTCCCCCCACATGTACTACCTTCCTCTCTGTCTTCCAATGGGAACTGGGCTGGTTTTCGGGTTGGGACAAAGAGCTGGGGCGAAGCAGGCACAGGTGTGTGGCCTGGCAGAGCGGAACGGGGCTGCTCCAGTGTGGAGAACGGCCGTGGAGGAGGAGGAGGAGGAGACGGGCTGGCCCTGCGAGTGCCTTAAAATGACTTTCATTCGGAAACTCTGAGTAGTCAGTCTTCGGATGTACATCAACTCAAACAGATGTTGCATTTCAGTTCTCTGGGATTATAAAAAGTTAAATACAGTGTGTATTCGACAACAAAGCATCTTTCCTGTTTACTTTGGTTCTTAAAGTCGCAGTGCCTGGTTTCCTAAGAAGCCGTGGGGATGCAGGGGCAGGTGCAGGGACCCTGCCTGGCCAGCGTCCTCGCCAGCCTCCTCTGTGCCTTAGCCTGTGATCTAGGGGACGGAGAACATTCTAGAGAGGCAGAGAGTAAACTCTGCCCTTCCACCCTCCCGCCATGCCCCGCGCACCAGCTGGTGGTTCTCCTTCCCCTGTGTGAGTGGCGTTCCTCTGCTGCACACTGGCCACGTGACCAAAACATGTCTGGGGGGGGTCTGAGCTCCTGAGGCAGTTAAGGGTTCTGGGGTGCTGCCCTCTCTCCCTCAGAGCTGCATTTGTTGTTTTCCCATTGATTTTTAGGGAGAGTGGAAGAGAGAGAAATATCACTGTGAGAGAAACACATCTATTGGTGGCCTCCTACCCGCCCCCGACCAGGGCTGGGCTGGGGAGGAGCCTGCACCCGAGGTACATGCCCTCGACTGGAATCGAACCCGGGACCCTTCGGTCCGCAGGCCGAGGTCAGAGCTGCATTTTTAAATGGTGAGGATGGAAGTGGAGTTGGGGTGGACTTGGTTCTGAAGCTGAGCTCCTGGGAAGGAGCTGACAACTTGGCCCAGTGGCGCCAGGGCCCCCGGCCCTGCAGAGCCCCGCCCGCCCCGTCCTC